TACATAGTTTGTCTTGTACAATGTAAAATAGGATACAAATTTTCATACATGTAAGTACTGTGACACCAGCATAAGGATCTTTCTTTGGGATCTTCATTTTCGCTGAACTTTATAAGTCAGAAACGCTCTGGGGCCCAGTTTGTAAACCGACCTAAAACTCACTCTTATGCAAAACACATATTTTACTGATACCGGCAATATTTACCCAAAGCTAAATGCCGTATGTTTCTCTCAATCAAATATGTGAAGTTGGCTAAAACAAAGCAATCTGGTTTCAATTTTTTTAGATCACAAACACTGCAAATCATCCATTTCGACAATTCAGTAAATTGAAGTCACACACCATCGAGTATATAACCAGAAATAGAGACGAGATAAGGGCCGTATATTCCTGGTAACACATTAGCGTTACAGCTCTTATAAATATCAACTCTCGTTTGCACTAAAATATAGACAGACCAACTACTGACCTGTGTGTACGTCTCCGTATATTCCAAAAAATATTCTGTACTTATTGTAATAGAGATAATATCTCTAACAATGCCGTGCTGTTCTATTCGGTGATGTGGGAAAAACAGCAAAACATCTAATTACAAATCAAACAGAATCACATTTCATCGGTAATTAAATATTAAATATGTAATTTTGTAATTTTCGCCCATTATAGCAAAGCTCAAGTTAACCGGTCGAATTGAAGTGAAACAGTTGACGACACCCGTCAATTGTTTCAAATTCGGGCTAGCCAATCGGAGCGCAGTTGTCACGGTAATGATATGGCAGAATGTTTTCAAACAAATTAAATGACATTACTTCTCTATTTCTGGTTATATATTCGATGTCACACACTAACCTACATACAAAGCTATTTGCATGGGACAAAAACTCGAGTACCATACACGATTCTAAGTGCTCGTATAGTATAGTAAGTACAGTTTCACCTTTGAAGGACGTCTCTCTATCTACAGGCAGCAAAAAATGTACTGTTACATCTTTTATATGTCTCTCATTCAATACTATATGCTAGTACGCAGTTGTGTTAGCTGACAACAGACCTCTTTTCGCTGTTTTCTAAACGTTTTCTTGTTTTAAAGTACATAGATTGCAGGAAACATGTACGTAGAAATTGTTCTTTCCCCGCTTTTCCACTAGTAATCGGTTTTTATCATTAACTAAGACCATATTTATCAATGTTATGTTTACCGGGTGTCGCTTTTACAACAGATTGTAATGAAACGTTTGAAACAAAAATGTTTTTACATAAGTGTTAAATACTAGACCATGCATATCGCGAATATAGAAATGATAAAATGAATTGGTTTTCTGTCAGATTCGATCTATGTAGACACTGTGGTCCAATCCTCGCCCCTGTGACCCAGTGGTCACATTGCCAGTGCAATTCCTTCCACCTGAGAATAAGTTTAGCCATCCAAAAGGAAACGTTGCTGATGGACAGGATACAACAGGCTGTCCTCGTTTAAATGTTATCACTGTTTAAGTATTCTATACAAAATATCCATTTTATTCAATGTCAAGTCAAATACTCGTTATTATACTTTCTGTAGAATAATGTTTTGAACTACAAATGCAAGGCATAATGAAAAGCTTGTATCGGAATTAAATATTATTAACATTTCTATTGTATTCATTCACATTTCCTGCTCATGTAGTTTTTTCTTCATACAAAAATATGTATGACAATTATTGATTGTCTCCTGTTCTCTATACAAAACAGTTTACTCTAAAGATTTCAAAATAAAATCAATTCACGTTGTCACGTTTCACACTATATTATTGTGCTTTTGCTGTGAATAATGTAACGTGAAGACAGAAACGCTCTGCGGCTTTTGTGGCCCACATGCACAATGTAACTGGTAAATGATAACCGGTTATTTCAGAGCATCCTAAAATACCTTTTAATTTATTTAAGCTATATAGAGATTCACACGAAGCGTTACGCTTGCACATTCACATGGCGAACGGTTATGGAGTGGAATTACTTGAAGCCTTTTGAAGCTGAGAGTGAATAAAGATGATTTAGATGTGCATGCTCCATCGGGTGAGATTGCGGTCAAATTCGCATTTATTTTTTAATAAAAACAATATATGTTATATGGAAAAACAGAAATATTACATTTTCTTCTATCTTTATTTAACTATAAAATGACATCAACTGCAGTGGCCTGGGCCCTGAGTCTGCTAATTTTAAATCATCTCAGCTGTGTGTAGATAGAAAATAAATGGCAGGTTTTTGTACGTTTGGTATTCTGCTAAAAGTTAAGAGTTAGTGGCTTATCTATGGCTAGCCATCGAGGTAAATACTATTCAATTGTCATCGCAATTTTTTGGTATTCTGCTTTGCAATGGCGAGTCGATGTCTGCTAATTTATTTGACGTTTCTTTCGATTCGTTTTTATTTACAATTTAAGTGCATAATTCTATGCTTATTTTATGATAAACACATGTGATAATACATTATAAGAAATACATTTAATTTAAAATTTTGCAATTTGAAAGTGACATTGAAATGAGAGGGAACGCGGGGAATCAGATGAATGGTGCATTGCATGCCTTCATGAGCAGCCGGACAGTGCTTAAAAAGGCACGACTGGTTGTGCATGTCCGAGGGGAACACTATTGAGGCTCAACTGCCATTACAGCTAAATTTTAACAGAATAACAAATAGTATCTTGCAATATAATCTCAGTGAAAGAATTCGCCCAGGGAAGCAAGTAAGAGTGTGGTTGTACTCAACTGCCATTACATTTTTTTTGTATTCTGCTATTATATGGCGTCTTTGGCGTAGTCTATTTAATATCGTATACTTATATTTGAAGACTATATTGCTGATGAAACGAATAGTAATTTGCATGGCAGTTTTAGTAAGGCGACATCGATCGTCAGTGATTGATTGTATGCCGTCACTGTCATTCCACTGACAGTATATTGAGATTCAACTACCGTTACCACTAGATTTTAGCAGAGCCACATATATTATTCATAATTGGAATGGAATTACAATGACCAATGGTTTCAACACAATTAACAGACTTGGGGCCCTGGTGCATCGTGCTCAGAATTCTGAAAATTATCCCCCTTTAGATAGATAAAGTTGATTGTTTCACGGTATTATGAAGCCTCAATAGAATGCCACTGTATTGACATAACAAAATAGCATACAATCTCTTACAAAGTATACACATATACAGTCACAAGGTATTAGATTTTCGCAGATCTTATCGTGACGTCACAATACGTGTTGAATATCAATCTTTTTGTTTGAAGGCCAACATCCGGCGAATAAAAACAATTGAACGTCACTTTATCTCTTTGCAATAAAAGGACGAAATGTATTGTCTTACATTCGTTCCTGGTACTATCTTGTTCCTTCGCATGTCCACTAAGTCTTGGCCTTTCAGAGTACGTCTTTCGATATTGTCTAAACTAATATTTGCGTAGGTACATTACACGCATGGACGTTAAATGGAATATCGAAATAAAATTTGAAAACTGGTTTTGCACTTGTATTATTACAACTTACCACATTAATATTCTTCTTTTTTTCCGTATCTTCGGCATACATTACAGTGTTTGCCATCGTGGTGAAAGAATTTACCAATCGGCGTACGGTACTTTCCGATTGTTGCCCAAGTTGCGCCAAACGTACATCAAAGGAATGAAAGCTACGTCGTGCGGGAAGGCTCTTATCGTCTACCACGTCCACCATGCTATAACAAGGCATTTGCAACTTCATTGACTAGCCTTCATATACCTTTCGGGATCCTAACTCCTTTGTTAGCATCAAGTTTTTCAATTACATTGAACCCGCTTTTATTGCTAATGAGTATATTTTAGTTTGCTTCAGCGTATTCATATGCCCCGGAAAATGATGCCATCTATCTAAAAGAGTATCTTGGTCACGTGACCAGGAGCGATAGATACACGCGGATACAGCTGATAATGATGAGCAAAGTGCAGGGAAAGAGAAACGCTGGGCGAAGAAAGAAATCGTGGCTGCGGAACATCCGGAAGTGGACCGGCATTGCCTCCGTCAAACAGAGACAAATACAGGAATCTGACGGCCAACCTTTAAGATTGAAGAGGCACTCTAGGAAGAAAAATATTTTTGTTATCGTCAATAGGTCTATGGATCGCAATATGCAATGTCTACCAATTTTCATAAAATTACAAACCTCAACCAGATCGATGATATCCTTAAAAAATCAAAACTACGGAATAGATGAATGTCTATAAAATTAATAAAGGAAACGAAGAAGGTTGATTCAATAGGGTCGCAACAGGTGAACATATACCCAAGTATAGCAACTATTGTTTGCTTTGCTGTCCGAGCTCGTCATAAAATGGTCTTTAGTGTGAGTTCTGTTCTGCGGAACACATGTAACTTCCTTTACTTTGTTTGTTTCCACCGCACATGTTATGTTCGTTAGCATCGGATCATTATCATTATTATCGTTTTCACGCTTAGATCAACTTCAAACTGATACCTACATTGCATATGACTCAAGACTGATCTCAGATCTGGACTACAGTACACTTAAATTATATTAAGTACGGTAAATGCACTCCCACCGAATCTCTAAATAAGGAATAAATCCTGACACTATAAACTTCTACAGCTTTTCTAATAAACAGCGTTAAGGTGACTGACAGTAAAAATGTAAACTAACCATTCATGAACAAAAGCATTATTCGAACAGATTTTTTCTGAAAACGCAGATGGCAAAAGGTCAGCAAACAGTGAACCCTCGAAGGGACGGTCGGCAAAAAAGAGCCGTAAAACCCGAACCGCATCTACTGGAAGTTATTGGACACAACTGCATAGCGATAGCATAACCACAACCATTCATAACGATGAGGAAACGAGACAAACTGGTGAATAGGAGAAAACGTCTGCGTGTTTGAGAGAGTGAGGGAGATTGCATTCCTAAAACGACAAGCACAATGTCGGATCCGCGCGGATCGAGGGACCGACTCGCGCGCCGTTCACTACCTCGCGCGCTCCGCCACCGCACGGCCGCGCCACTCCCGCGCACCTAACATCCACATTCACAAAAACTCGTTCAACATCCGTTCTCGTGACCACCGATAATAAAATTTTGACAATATTGTAACCTTTATTCTGACAATTGGTGCCGGTTATGTCAATTCTTTACGCTAGCCAGTATTGTGATCTTCTACGGATAGACATCCTTTGGTGAAGTGTGTTTTCGTTTGTGGATTGAGTGCATCAGACTGTAAAGGAGAAGAATCCGAGGATACTTTCACTGGACTGAAAGTCGCTCAACATTCTTTCGGATTACTTCTTTGGCCCATTTTCAAACTAAAAACAGGTAATGAAGACAATTTTAATAATACTGTTACGTTGGGTAAGTATGCAATTATTAGATACCGTGATTTAAGCAACAGGACAAATGTTTTTGCAGAAGAATCAAAGCGTAGTAAAAATCGTCATGTGGATTTACAGATTGACATTGTAAACGCGCATGTAGACGTTATCATATAGCATCACGATAAGTTGCGATGTTGCGGATCATTTATTTGTTCTCACAACACTTGTGATAAAAATCTGACATTATCAGATTAAAACGTATTTTATTATGAAATAACATCACCAATAAAAACAACTTATCGCGCAAAAATTGTCGTTAACGATTCAAGAATTCTTGGAGACGTAAACAGAGACCAAGATTCAATAGATAATTATTTCTGTGTGATTGACTGTCTTTCACGGTGGATTACCTGTCTTTTATGTTCATAGTAATTACGAAATTACTTATCATGAATCACAATTTTCATACAAAAGCATAAGTCTTTACAAAATCTTTAGTATTCACAGATATTGACTGAGCAGAAAAACAAAATTAGAGAGATATAGATTTTTCTAAATGCGGTCCACCACAAAACTTTTCTCAGAGGTATTATCTTCATCGATTAAGTGAAAACTGCGGCTTGGTTTGTGGTCTTCAATAACTTTGTATGCGTTATTACTTTTAACCACTAACTTAGTAATATAAATTAATGCCCTAAGCCAGTTATAATTCTTGTCATGAAAATTATGTTCATTATAAAAGTCAGTTATATCCAAAACAGTGGTTTCATACTGCTATTCCCACAACAGCATAGTGCATTAAATAACTTCTTGATGTTAAAGCAATGGCCTACTTTTTGTCAGAACTTACCGTCTTCCGATAACTTCACAAAAAACATAACTGTGCGCATGAGTACTTTACTCCGTCACATGCTTCCTATGATTGATGAGAAATACGATGAATGACGAATATTTAAAAAGGAAAATAGAGAAAATATTCAAACGCTAATGTTCTGTAGTGTACCACAAGAAGAAAGAGATAAACCAAAGAAGATTGTACTACAAGTACCATAGTAGATCTACCTTCCTTAAATACAGCAATGCATATTATTGTAGGGCAATGCTTTTAAATTTAGTTAAACCACCATTTAAAAAGAAATTGTAGAATTAAAAAACCAATTTTAATCATGTACAGAAAAAATTACTTAAAAATATAAACAAAATTCTTATTAAATACGAAACGTACTTGAGAAACATGCCTTATGAAGCCTTTTGCATTTTGTAAAGAAACTAATTGAACTATAAACAAAACAATGTGCAAGAATGTAGTAAGAATATATGAATAATCACTAAAATTTCATTATTACCAGTCAATCATAGTTACGCGACGAAAGCAGCCAGTGCCTTGAACGGACGTTACAAATCATTGGGTACATTATGGTTAATAAGCAATACAGGTAGTAGGTTTGATGAGGTTTGTGCTATACGTAAGTATACTATTTTTTATACGATTCAACTTTTATGATATTCCGAAAGTAGGAATATAAATTTTTCCCCTCTCCTTGATGCGATCTCCGACTTTTGCATTTTGATTCATATTTTGCAGTCTTGTTTAGTGGAGTCTGATTTTCTAATCAATCTGACATAAGCTTCTTCTTCTTCTTATTTATAATCTAGATTCTTATCGGTGGAGTAGCGGGAGAGCTCCTTGCGAAAGAGTTCGTCCAGGGAAGTACTGCCACCACTATTTCTGCCCCAAGCAGTAATGTGAGCATTACTGCGTATCGGTTTACAAGGGTAAGGAGGTTGGTGAAATTACAGGCACATGGGACTAATATGTCAGTGGAAATACCCCTTTAGATCTTTGCAATTTAGAGCTCCGAGTGGCAGCGCAACTGCTATGGACAGGCGTGTCGCTTGAGGGCGTTCCCACTATGTCGTGACGACAGATTGTCGTGCAGTTTACAGTGTCGTGACTTGTATATTTAAATGAAGTTCTTCACATATAGCACGACACGATTAACTGTCGTTCACGATTTTTTGTCGTTACAATGACAAACTGTCGTCACAGTGGGAACAGCTAGAACGACAGTCGTCAGACGATAAAAAACGCCACGACAAAAACGTGACGATAGATTGTCGCAGCTCCTATTGTCGTCACGTTTTATTTAACGCTGTCCGCACGTAATCTGCTCCCTTGCCTCCCCTCTCGTACCCCGCGCCCTCTGCTCGCTTTGCAATGGAAACAGCTAGTCACGACAGTCGTTCAACGATAAAAAATCGTCCACGACAGATAGTCGTGATATGGGAACTGGCTAAACACGACAGTCGTCCAGCGATAATAAAACGCGACGACATAGTGGGAACGCGCCGTGACTTGTTCGTCCCTTCACTTGGTGTCACGAAAAAAATCGTCAAGAATAACGACACGACCTAAACTAACACAAAAATAGTGTCACCCATTATGCAAGCTCTACATCATAAATAGGTTACAATTTACGCACATTAAATTCACTTCACATGAATCATCTGAAATTTACGTTAATTCTAATATTTCATAGTCAAATCGAGACATTCCAATACGAAATTAATAAAACGTAAATTTTCCTGGAAGGAAACTAATACTTAAATTTGTTACTTGTAATGTAATACGGATCTATCGGAAAGGTATTTACGACTAGGGCAAAGGTAAGGATTTATACAGCATAGCGTAGGATTTATATAACGTCAAATAATTTTGCTCCTCAGTGAAACACTGTACTTTTCATTCTTCCTTCGTGGATAATTAATAAACATACTTAAGCACAGATGTCAAGCTAAGCCAGTTCTATATTCAAACAATCTTTTCCAAATTTAGTCGCGATGTGTTGTCAAAATATTCGAATCGAAATTCATTTTCGAAATTTAAATAATGTGAAAGGTTTATCATCCAGTTAGTACCTCTACAGCTACCAGTCATAGATTTCTCATAGATGGCGCTACGACTAGAAAGTCGTTGAAAAACCAAATACAAAGACATGACGCTAGCACATAGAAAAATTCGTGAGGTCCGCTGGTTTGTTCCGCGGCTTAGTTGGTATAGCGTCTGGCACGGTAAGCTAGAAGACGTCGGTTCGAATCGAGGGAATTTTTTCTGAGTGTCGATCTTTGTATTAATAATTCTAACAAACTAGTGGAGTAATTTCACAAAAAAATAATTTAATATCAATTCAATAAAAATTTAAAATAATGTCTTTTTTTTTTCTTTATTTTAGTCCTGCGCAGGAAGCCATGTTGTATCAACAATTAGAAAGTACACTATAATTGTCATTCTCTCCGTCCCTTCGTTATAATTGATGAAAGATACATAAAGGACTGCTGTCACTAATATCACCAAGCAGTTCTATTTTCAAACAATCTCATTTGTTGGGCGCGCTGTCAAATTTTTTTTAAAATTTAAATGTGATTATTCCATACATAATAAAAAAGATTTTACTCCTCCTCAGGTAACCATTTTGTGTCAACAATGAGAAAGTGCCTACATACTTGAACGCATTTCTTTATACCAAGGAATTAAAATTATATTGCTCGAAGAGTTAATAGTTCTGGTCATAAAAGTATGTTTATTATAAAAGTTAATGATCGCTATAACGGACGTTTTACTAGCTGGGCATTTAGTACCGTATTAATTTATTATTATAAGATCCTCCATCCTATTCTATGTAATACTGCACGGTAAAGGTCTCCACTAAGGATAGGGCTTAGGGTACAAACTTGGTATGAGCCAAAAAACAGATCGCACATCTTCTGAAGAATTCTTAGCGCTGTCTCGGGAATTCTCGGAGCGACCATCTTGTATCTAATGTATATGTTACATAATTGATTTACAGTATATTATACTTTACATAAAATACATTATATTATACTATGTACAATTTCGTTACAAAATTCCCTTCCGCGGCACATCAAGCTACACATTGACGTATCTTGTTCCGTTGCACTGGAGGCGATTTTCGAACAAAAATGTGTAGTCTGATGCGCCATTGTCCGTACTACATTATGTTTTCCCAATTTACTTATTATATAACAAAAAATATTATATTATTGAAAGTATACTATTTAATAGTTCTATACGAAAGTAAAGGTTTTTTCCGTAAGCATCATAAAATAAAATATTGTAGTTTAATGTACTTGATAATATATTATTTACCAACAATAAAATTAAGTTTTCATTTTTCATCACCAAATTATTTGTACTACACAAATGTAATTTTGAAATGCATCCTTTATTCTTACCTATTGTATTAGTACTTTATTTTTCCTATTGTAGTTTTATGTCGTTTTCTTTAGGCTATTAACATAATCAGCATAAAAGTGCAGTGTGCTTTGACTTTTTTTGCAAACATAAGTCAAATTACCAACAATGATGATGATGTGACGTTTTAATGGAAACCTTGCATTAATGTTTAGGTTGTACATTCTTTATTAGTACATGTATTTATGGTGCGGACGCTACATCGAAACCAGAGCGAAGCATAGGATTCAAAATAGGGATAATTTTGCCCCTTAATAACAAACCATACTTTTAATTCCGCCCTTCTTGGATAATAAATTAAAGAACGCACTAACGCCACCCAGTTCCATTTTCAAACAATCTTTTTTTTTTCATTTTAATCACGCTGTTGTCAAATCCTCTTCCTTATCCATTGATCCCTCATTGTCAAGTGCAAGTTCACCTTCTATGGTACTTCTCCATTTCCCTTTGTATTCCCCTGGGTGAAGTGCATTGACCGGTACTTTTAAATTTCCAGCTACCTGCTACACCATCTTTATTACTTCGTCATCTTGGTCGTTTACCCATGATAATAAGCTTCTCGATATTGTCAGCACTTCGACGTGCAATGTGGTCAAAGTATTGTAGAATACGGAGCAGACAGATTGAAAAACAATCTTTTGTGATTTTCCAGCTGTAATTTCTTTAATACGAATGTATTCGTCCAATAACACCTGAACAGGCGATGCTAACACCACATTTCCAATGCT